TACTTAGATTCACTAAAAAAATATATACTTATCACAGCTCTCAAGCAACGAAACAGTATTAATTATAAAGTATCGTAAATTTCTAATTTGTATCTTCAAGCATAATAATAATAAAAGTCAAAACAGTATTCATTTCCTACAACAAGGTACCTAACAAAGGATTAAATATAATTAAATCAGATTAAATTCAACCCTAGGGAACTGATTAATTAAAATAGATACGACCTGAACCCCTGCTTATCCCCAAAGGGTAGAAAAGGAACATGGTTCAATCTATACTTGCTATCCGGAAATGACGGCTTCAGTGTTTCCTGAAGCATGAAGCGGATTAAGCATCGACCACCCATCCAACTGATGGCCGGATTAGGTGACAGCTTAACCACAGACATTGTGTGGTGGTGTATATTGTATATGCATGCTATCAGTTCTAGCGAACTTCATGCCATTCTGAATCTAGCGAATTTCATGTCATATAGGATCTAGCGAACTTCACGTCTATTATTCTGGCCCTAGTGAACTTATATACAAATAAATGGAAAGTTCATTTTTAACATGAAAATCGGACCAATATTATGAGACACAAATATTATTTTTATCCCAAAGGGAAATCTAAAAAGAACTACTAATACTTTGAACGACTCAGGGATGGTCTTCGAGACCCCGTGACTACAGTCTACGATCGCTCGTTCAAAGAAGAAGTAAAATAGTAAAAAGTATGTATATCGACTATAAACACATTATTGTTTAACCTTTCAAAGAACAACCGTCATGATATTTAAAAATCTTAAATAATTAAAAACAGCCGTCTAATTAAACGCATAATTATTTTCTCTCTAAAACGTTTTCCGGATTTGCGTTTTAATTAAGAACGTTTAAATCTAGATAGACAAATTAAAATCCAAGGTTACCACGGTATAGAACGAATTTTATCGAACATTATAAATGCGAATGTGTTTGTTTAACTTTGTTTGTTATGCTCTTATGCCTAAACTGCTAGACTGACTGTGATGAATTCTGATGTTGAGATAGATAGATCTCTCGGACTATTATCAAGGGCTCGTATTAAGACGAGTGATTGGCTATTATATTCGAAGTTCGAGTTTTAAATCGTGGTTTAGTTTTGAACTATGTACTGCTTAGTTTTGAACTATGTACTGTTTTTCATTCTACCACCATAATTTAGTTTTAAAAAAATCAAACAGCAGTCCATTGCGCACGGATGCCTGTTGCGTATTGGGTTGCGAGGGGAGCAAAATATCGGTCTGTTGATATTTATTGTCTCTTAGTTAGATACATGAAACAGGTTTTTGACTCGCTTGTATTGCGATCCTAGTTTTGTTGTCCGCTATCATATTCAATTACACTCACACATACACACCTACTCAAATCACACGACACAACACATATTTATTTATCACCAATTTAGCATTTATATTTATCTGTTTACTTTTATTTAATTCTTTAATGTTATAATTATTATCAGGGACTGGTTACATCCGTGATCTGATCACTTGAAGGTCCAGTTGAAAACCAGCGCCAGGCAATAACCGCCTGGCATCGAAGCTGAACTGGGCCTATTTGTCCAACGCTGAGACACACATCACTGTTTTTTTTTTATTATTATTTTTGTTTTGATTAATTATTTACTGGTTTTTTTTTATCTACTTTTGTATCTGTGTCCAGGTTGTGCAAATAAAATTATTTCTTTCTTTCTTTCTTTTCTTTCTTAGCAGTAGACAATTTTCTTTCTTTACGATTCATCGTTAATCTCAAGTGAAATGTAGACGTCCACTACGCACAGCCCTATCGTTTTTCGTCCAAGAAAAATAACGTCAGCAGACCCAAAAAAATCTTCCCTAACGTAAACCTAAAAGCAATTAACTAAAAGCAGACTAATAATATCCTACTTACTTACTAAAACTGTTTAGAAACCTCACAACGGTATTATCTGTACTAATGAGTCGGCGAAAATAGGGCTGTGATTAACTAGATTAGTGAGATTACACACTTAGATGAATAGAGTATTCACTTGGTGAGCAACCCTATTGAAATGCTTTGAATGTGTTGTTAATGTTGCAACGAAAATTAATGTTCATTTTCTTCATGAATATTCGCATTTATTCGAGTTTCATTTTAAATGAAGTTTAAATTTTAAATAAAAATTTGAAATGGCGTCGTGATTGCAGTAGCCTTTGGCGTATCAATATCGTAAAGAATAAAAATAATAAATCATTTAAATTTGGAACGGTTAGTTTAAATGTTATTTATATTAAGTATTATTGTTAATTTATTCAAACCATTTTAGACAAACGAGAGAAACGCCGAAACCGAAATGGAATAATTTATATTCAATAAACACAATTCCATTACAGACAAAACAACAAAGTAAATTAAGACTCATTATGTTTTAAAACCATTTAAAACTACACAAATTACACAAATGTATCCATATCCATAATAACAACAGATGAGCATTTTACAAACAAAAGTATGAATTACAAAACGTCAATAACGACAAGCTCCACTTCGCTTGACCACACAATGGGAAGCGGCCATGACATTGACAAGGCTAACCCAGCATTGTATACTGAAGAAGACAATTCAAGCGTACTATAAAAATTCAAACGCCGACGACACGTTACGTCACAAGGTCATGGAAATTATACAACAGTGGTAATTAATTATGGACTGTATGTGATCACAATAAAGCGTATATTGCATGTAGGACCTTCGTAACAAAGGTCGGAGTAAGGTCGGCTGATTAGTACCGAGGTTTTAAATGCAAAGTGCGTTCGAAGAAATTACTGTTTCGTTGGTAGAATGATACGATAACATTATTTTATTTGAATGTTTGAAGCGCTAATCTCCGAAACTGCTGGTTTGAATTCAGTGAGTCGTTTTCTACTGTACAATCTGTTTATCTTGGAAGGTTATAAAAGATCACACTAAGAACAAAAGTAGCTGAGCAGCGAAACCTCAGGGTGGCCTATTTTAATAGAGTCTGAGCTTGTATTTAGTCTCATATTTTTAGAAGTCGTTAAAGATAGTTCATATTGGAGTTGTATGGCCCTCACAGCCTAATGACTCGGCTGGGAACTATTTCCGATAGTTCTGAGGTCTCTTGTTTATACACATATAGATCTCACATTGTGCTTGGTAAATTTTAGCTTTATGACATATGTTTTGTGTTAGTATGTTGAAAAAATCCGCCTTAATGCAAGTAACACTTGATTCATGCAAAATTCAATTGAAAAAACTAACACAGCAAAGTGGCTTTTTGTTTGAAAAAAGTATTGACGAATTGTATTATTTTTTTGCATACATTTTGTTATTGTCGATCGAATCGTACAACTGTTAAAGAAAATCATTGATGACGTCACACGCACGTGAGCTGCACAATGTCACTGTGTCCATTCATTGACACGATAGGGCTGCCAACTAGCAAAGTTTGAATGACACTGTCAGCAATACGATAGTGCTATCCGACGCTCTTGTTAATATTGTTTAATAAGCATAACTATTGATATCGTTGATACATTTAAAAAAACAAAATGTACGATCTTGTTTATCTGATTCTTAAGTAGAAAAGTTTTGATAAATGTGTTAAGATAAGAATTTATAAAGATACATCGTCATCATCTTTCATGAAAGAAAACCACTTTGTCATTTTCAAACCATCTACAACATCGTTGCATTATTACGTTTACATCATAAATTACAACACAATTTGAAATAAAATCTTGGAGCCCAACATTTGTATAAAAATTCTGCGTATAAATGTAACAGAAAACTAAATTTTTTCAAGAATTTGAATGTAAAATGTAATTGTGTTTATTGGCAACCCTGTACTTGGGACTCATCGTCAACGGTGCGTGGTATATTTTTATTTCTTTTTTTTCTCACGACCAGCCATAGACTAAGTTTAGTTCACCGGAAAGCCAAGGTACAATTGTTAAGAAAAACTAGCCATTCACTGCCCAAGTAATCATGGCCGAATCTTTGGTATATTGCAAAAAAATGGCGTCTGATAAATTACCGTGACATTTTCTAGCTTCTTCTTTATAATACAGATGTTTTTTTGTAAGTTTGCCTTCTATAAATTTGATGATTTAAAAGCAAATTATTTATCTTGGTTGGAGATTGTTATTCTATAAATATTCAGTTCATTAGAGGGCTCTTTAGACCGCTCTTTCACAAATGTGTACTACTATAAGATGTCTATTAATTATTGCAAATGATTGAAACAAAATACATTTTTTTTTGATTAATTTTTTGATGTTCATTATTTATATACAGTGTGATTGTAATGTATCTTAGATTAAACCTTATATAATATAATTTCAAGTTATAGAGAAATAGAAACACTTTAATAATTTTGCAGCGCATATTTGAATTCAAACCTTATTTTTTGCCTAACCGTGTTAAAATTTCTAGCAAATTTATCAATGTTTAGATGTAAAGCGATGGACATACATAACATGAATATTTAAAATACTTAGACAATTTGATTTAAGTACACCTATTTTGTTTACAGTCAAGTGTAATATTATTATCATTCTAGAGCTCATCAGCTCTCAACCATCGATTTATATTTACAAAAAAAGTATTCATTCAATTTAGTGCAGTCATTCGCGAGTTATATAATTATATTAAATATTTAAAATGTAACATTTAATAATCTTAAATTGACCTAGTATGACTTTCCAAAGTTTAGAATAAACTTCAGTTTAAGTTATGAAAATTATTATTTTGGATACATCAAAGAACAATGGCAGAGGTTGATCTGCTTACATTAAAAAAATAACAGAATATTTATTTAAATTTATTGTTTATGAATTCTATTTTCGAAAATAGAAAAATATTGACGATACATTATTTAAAAAATAGGTAATAAATTAAAATAGATGAATTGATTAATTTTATTTCGAGCACGTTTGCTTTCAAATATTTTCTTAATTCCACAAAATATTTAAATAAATAAAATATATTAAAATACATACCTAATTGTTGTTCACCCTGGTAGACGGAGCGTGTATGTAGTTTGTATCTAAAACAAAAGAAAAACAAATCATTAACTTGTTATATGTATAAAACTTATAATTTAAAACTATTCCTCTAAACACGAACTAGAAAGAGCTTAGCAATTAATTGAAAACTCCGTTCGTGGTTCGCAGTCGTAGAAAAAACAAACACACAGTATTAGAAACATGTTTCTTAACAAATTGATATTGGATTTCATAATCATTGTTATAGAGATGTGTTATCACCGAGGATATTACAAGATATATATCAAATAGCACTCCGTTTAATCAAAAAGTAGGTATGAATGTATAGGTATACCTTTACCGTTAAGCATTTTTGCTAAAATCTTCTTAATCAAAAATACATCCGGTACAAACTTATCAGATTTCAGATAATTGGTTGTTTTACCTAGTTTTTGAGGAGTTTTACGGCTAACTAACTTACAACTAGTTGATGAAAAACTCGACTTTAGTCTAGTTACAGGCAACGCTAGCATATGAATCCCTGGCGTGATTTGAAATTAATAGATTAATCATTAATTTATTATGTCGCACAATACACAAAATGTAAGTTAAAGGTGATATAGATATTAGTAACACAGCACACAATAAAACTATCTGTTATAAGTATCTGATTCTACTACAATTTGACTAATTACAAACTACTAAAATTCGATTGACAAATAATCATTGTCAACTAGTTTTAACGGAAGGAGTGCGGTTGTCCCTCATCATTCAATATCCGTGTTATCCTTGCTACAATCAAGCCAGTTCCATCTGAACACGACTGACAATATTTGGACTCGGGATTTTTATGAGTTCCTTGCACTACGCAATAGCGTAATACCTTAAAGACCTTGGAACGCTATAGCGATCTCAAATGTACTTAAGCACTAGGATTACTAGATTATATAGGATGATTAATTATATTGATTTAGGTTTTATCTAATAGTAGAAGGTTGCATGGTAAATTTTCCGTATTTTCCCTTCATACGACATTCTTATTCTGAATATAACGACCTCAATTTGCTGTAATAGACAGACTGCGATCCGCAGTTTTAGTTTTCAAAGCAGTTTCGTAGCCTATGCAATACAAACAATCATATCTGTCCTCTTTATAATATTAAGTATAGATACCACATCTGATACAGTCGTTCGAGAGTTACGTTTTTGTAATCAATTTTTCTTTCCAGATGTGGAAAGTTTTGGAAATGCTTTGTAGTTTATTGTGGATGGATATAACATATAAGCCAATTTCTTAAACAGTATCGCGGGCAAAACTATCGCTGGTACTAGAGCTAGCAGTTCATAAAGTATTTTAAAAGAAATACTCTTTTTTAATAAAATACAATATGTAAAATACAATTATCTGTTTGTAATGGTCACACAGCCCTATAGCTATCATCTTGAACAATGTCACAGTCGATCGATGTTTGCGATGGGCCATCTATCTCTATAACTGTTGGCAATTGAGTTTACATCGCAAATCTATTGGAAAACAGACTTCTGGATGGTTATGACGTCATTGTTGTTTTGTGTTTATGCACACAACACCTGGTCTGTGTCAATATAAAGGCAGAAGGGCTGGTAGTGTTTTGTTTGAGAAAGTAGGCCATTTTGTTTGGTTCAGGCAGTTGTGTTCATAAAGAGCATTAAAATAAAAAAAATTGTTTTGTTTTTTAATTTTATTGTAAAAAAGTACTAGTATTTCTGCAGTAGAATGCATACTATTCAGTTATTCGAAAATGAAATTTTAAAATAGATTCTTCGGTTCAGATAATAAACTGAATTTAAGTGTGGGAGGGCCAAGCTAAGCACGAATGGGTTAGCTCGGCCAGGGCGATACTACTGCCTCACAGAAAACCGGCGTGAACCAACCACAGCTTTATTTTTCGCCGTGTGAGTGAGGTTACCGGAGGCTCAATTTCTTCCCTCTTCCCCATCCCTTCCCAATCCTGAAATATCCGAAACACTTATCCCGCTCATCGCCGCCGCCTATAAACGGGTGTCCATTTGTGGCGTCGATTGCTTACCATGAGGCTAGCCGAACTATGCTTAAAAAACCTACCTACAAAATGGTGTAGTTTATACAGTTTTTAAAATTATATTTCTTATCGTCTAGACTTTTATTAAAAGACCTTCGCAGTAATTCAATTAATTACTATGATTCTAGATTGTTTGTAAAAAGCTTCTAAATTAGTTTATATTGTTTTTTTAGGCTCCATTATTACTGAAATTATATAGATATTAGTATTTTAAGATAGCAGGGAAATAAAGTAACTATATTTTAGTACTAACGTACTTTTAATGATTCGTTCGTGGTACGTTTATTTTTGTTTGAATTAAAATTAAGCTATCATTAAATAATGATTTGTATAAAACTAGCAGTGAAAAACTGGTTTACCTACATTTTGAAAAGAAAAACTAGCTTATAACAGTCTCTAGCATTTTAACTATCTCCACATATAAAAATCGTTCCGTTTTATGTGGTGGAAATTGGTTGCGCAACCAAATAGTTGCCGGCGACCTAGTCAATCCTAATGTTAATTTCGTGACTTTAGCACGACAATGATATCCCAATGAAACAACAAACACAACCTTTTATTACTATTTTATTCTTTTTATTTAAATTTAGAACAGAAATATGGTACGTACGGGTAGTTTGTACCTAACAGGCAATCTCTCACATTCGACTTTTGAATATATAATTTTGAAATTTGAAATTATTCTATTAATTTATTCTTTTTTTAAACGAATATAGTTTTTACAAATTGTGAAATGTAATATATTCGAAAGCACTTAGTATGACGGAATATTGTAAGGAATTTTGAACATCTGCCAGTTTTAAGTGGGATTTCAAGAGAGTGTCTTACAGTTTTGGCATTAAAAATTCGTTGTGACCCAAATAGAAACACGGGAAGAGTTTTCGACAATAATGAAGTGTGCTTCATGTAGTACCTTGATGGTCTAGTGGATTCAAAGTTTACTCGGTAAAGAAAAATGATTAAAAAAATTGTTGGGAACAATGATAAAGATTGGAATTGTGCCTTATGAACGTGAAATATGGGACTCATATTAATGTATCAGTGTTTTGACGCTACCGTACTGAGAATTTTAGAAAGGCAATTAAAGTTTTTCGTATTTGGTAATCGTACTAAATAACTCCAGCTCACTCAACTGAGTATCGTGGCCGTACGATCATCATTATCATCATTAGGAAGACACCCACTCCTAGACAAAGGCCCCCACCTTAGTCATCAAAATTATTATGTCGTTATAAACTAGGTGTAGGAACCACATGATTGACCCTAATTCCAGCCTCAATGATCAAACCACGAGATAACCTAAATATCACAAATAATACCAAAGTAAATATAATTCTATTTATACCCCGCACCAACAGCGAAGTGTAGGCAAAATATTTGCGAAAGATAACGGAAAATAATCTTAATATTAATAGCGAAAAAGGTCAGATTGCTTTAACAGAGCAAAATTATATGCCAAAGAAGTTTTTCAAATGAATACTTCAACTTCCCATGACATGTTTTGAACTGTTTATTAAGAAAAATACAGCTTCCATGTTACGCACGTGTATTTCAAGGATTTTTTTCTTGTTATTTTTCTTTGTAAATTAATTATATGGCATTATAACCGCTGTATTCAGCCATTTAATGGTTAGCTACCTAACTCAGACCTTAGCAACAGGAATAATGATTTAATTTTAGTCATTTTTTATGTGATAGTACTTCAAAAGATCGGACGGATTACCTGATGGTAAGCAATCAGCGCCGCCAATGGATAACCGGAACACCCGACCACTCATACAAACTATATAAAACTGTATAATTAGTGACATTTGATATAAATTATTAGTAGCCAACTTCCCTACTATATAGCACAATTCAAGACTTAATTTCGAAAACTGAGAAAGGTAAAAAATCGTTCCTGATCGTGAATTAAACTCTATATCGCGATATCTCGACAAAGTTTGCCTTATATACGTATATATCTATATATCATATACATTGTACAGGTATAAAAGTATAATGCCCATATTAATTCAAAGCACTTTCCATAAAAGTTAGTTATTACAGTTGAAAACATACAAAAAGGTAACTCACAATAGATGAAAGTAATATATTTAAGTAAATAGCGTAGTTATACAACTTTTATTAGCGGCTGCGACTTATTATCGCACGTATGGCCTACGTAATAAGGATTAATGATCGACGTCATGCGACGGTGAGTAAAATGTGTTCGTTAAAAGTGAGTTCTGTTTTTAAATTTGAATATTAGATTTTTATTTTTTTAAATGCTTTATTTATGTTCAAACTTTACATTTGAATGAAGTAAGTAAATTTTAGACTAGGTACTACTTACGTACATTTATTTATCAGTTTGTATTTATCAAGATTTTTCTTTTAATTGCTTTATTAATTTTCTCAGTTCATAGAAATTATTAATTAGTATACCTATTGCAATTCTTTTCGGAACAATACCATTATTAAAGCAATTATAAAAAAAATCTGAGTATAATGATATAACCTAAGCATTATTTTATTTATTGTACACATCCAAACCTCGCGTTAAGATATGTGATAAGATAATTGAGGAGAAGTACCTAAAATAGATCACCTCCATCGTTTTCCTAAGAGAAACCGAATCACACAGAGGTACTCATGGACGACAGCCTTCTTGACAGCAAATCAACGTACACCAAACTGTCAACAATCTGCACTAAAATTTGAAACTTATCACAACATGATAAGACTGGCAATCAATTAAAACAATAATATAGCTTCATGTGCGTGCATACCTACACATATACACGTAATATATTGTGACAGTCTTATTGACAATTCGACCTTTTCCGTCACTAAGCATATACCGTGTATCGGTCTGTATTTGTAGCAGATATTGTTATGTAAATTGGCTCATTCTCAGCTTATCTCTACATCAATCTTTCGTTGCTTGCCATTTGTTAAGACGACAGCCAACGACGAGGCAATTAGTTTGTATAAGATGA